TGTTTGTTTGATTTTGATTAGTTGATTTAAACATATAATTCCTGTTTGGTGAACTTACTTTTAAAGGATGTCTGACCTGGAGGGAGGTCTGATGTGGGTGTGCTCTCAGAGCTCAGGAAGGTGAAGCACCCAGGAAAGCTGGCCTTCAGGGTGTTAAGGCCTCCATGAGGATGTGTGTGCCACAACAGGTGAATAGGTCTTTATGCTGAGGGAGCTGAGTGGGGTATCGAACTGAGAGGGGAAGGAGGGTGTCTGAGTGTTGGGAGAGTCCAGAGGAGGGAGTTAACTTAGACAGGAAGGTCATGTCTTGTAGAGTTGGGATCAGTATTATAGGAAATCGTTTCCTTGGGATGGTGGGGATGCTCAGTTTGTTAAAGACATCAGGAACCAACAATTGAGGGCAAAGCAGGAAACAAAAATGACCACCGTGTTGTTAGTTTAGAAATGGGGGTGTGCCATTGTAAACTCATGGTTTCCAACGTACGAGTTATAAAAGTGCACTGAGGTGTGTGTGTGTGTGTGTGTGTGTGTGTGTGTGTGTGTGTGTGTGTGTAGACAGAACGTATACTATGCTCCCCAGCTCTGTGGGAGCCTCCCAGTAGCAGTGACTCTATGTAAATGCCCAGGTAGTGTTTAAGTAGAGTTTTTCCACTAAACAGAGCCAGTACTCCTTAAAAGGTGAATAGCAAGGCTGGGGTAAGGAAAGGTTAATTTTGTATGTCTTAGTTGTACAGATTGTGAGTGCTTTAAGAGTGATAGAAATATGTTAAAAGGAAGCAGAATCCTTGAAAGGGTCTCACAACAAATTGGGGACACTTTGAGCATCAAAATAAATAATTATTACAATGAATCTGAAGCCACTGGTTGTAGCTTCAGATACAACCTTGGATACAATCTTGGATACATGCTAATGGAAACTAGTAGACATACAGATACAAAATTTGACAAGAACAGGTTACTATTGTCATTTCAAACTTACCCATAAACTACTAATTAAAGGGAAGAGTATCTTGAGAACAGAGCATCCTGGCAGACATTGCCTTGACCTGTGACCAGGAGGACAGGGTCAGTAGAGGAGCAGATGGCACTCCCAGGTCACCTGTAGCCTGAAGAGAGAAGCACAAAGCAGCAGCTTGTGATATTTCTGCCTGGTGTGCTGTCAGTTACACCTGTCTAAGGTTGAAGTCTGTCCCCATTCAACTTGTCTCCTGCATCTTTACAGGATGGTATCAGCTTTACCTTCTACTTTAAGTGCATAGCCCTCCAGTTGCCTCTGATTCCTCTCTCCAGCTCCATCAGGAGTCCTGTTGGTACTATGTTGAAAATCTGCCTGTTTATCTTACCATCACCACTCCAGTGTTCCTTACCTGCTTTATTTTTTTGTAGCACTCACTACCTTTAATATATCACACAGTTACAATCTTACTTCATTGTTTATTATTGGATTCCCTCACTGTCTTAGAAACTCTATGAAAGGGGGCTAGAGAGATGGCTCAGCGGTTAAGAACACTGGTTGTTCTTGCAGAAGACCTGGGTTCAAATCCCAGCACCTACATGGCAGCTAACAACTGTCTGTAACTCCAGGTGCAGGGGATCCTACGGCCTCTTCCGCGGGCATTGCACGACATGGGTGCACTTACCTACGTGTAGGCAATACACGCATACACATAAAGTAAAAATAATAAATAAAATATTAAAAAAAGAAGCTCTGTGATGGGAAAAGTGAATGCTTTACTCACTGTTGTAAAATACCCAGCAGAGTTCTGCCTGAGTCAAGTGTCTATAAATATCTGTCTAGTGAGTGAGTGTAACCAAGAGACTTCCCAAGTCAGTCTGTGAGATGTGTACTAGCAGAATCCCCACCAGGTGATCCTGATGGTCATACTGGGTGCTCCATGGTATTGACGCACCCACTGGAAAAAACATGGTCAGAGTGTGCGATTGGGGCTGAATTCATGCAGCATGCATTTGTTTACTGATTATCCAGACAAAGACGGTGTTCATTACTTTTCTCGTCACTGTGACAAAATACCTGGCAGAATCTTCTTCGAGAGGAAGGGTTTATTTTTGCTCACCATTTCAGAGAGTCACAGTCCACAGCGGTGGCAGTATATGTCACTGTTTTGTCATCTGGGGAAGGACCATAAGGTAGAGAGTACAGGCTAGAACTGGAGGTGGGTGAAGCCTAGTGATCTAAGGCCCCACCTCCTGGAGGGAGGGCAGCTTTCAAAATAGTGCCACAAGCTAGGGACTGAGTCCTCAAAACATGAGCCTGTGTTGATGTTTCAGATTCAAACCACAACACTTAGGGTGGAATAGTGGCACATTTCACAGAGGAGTAGACAGCAGAAAGCTCAAGCAGGAAGTGCTTGTCTACTTGAAATACCCTAGAAGAGCAGGTTTAGGCATAGCTGTAAAGTATCTGGTGGGTACACAATGAACACCTTCAGGAGAAATCTGACTGCAGTGGCCTGGGAGAACTGACAGAGAAGGAAAGATGTGCTATGCGAGTCTCACTTCAGAAATCCCAAGAATATTTACACTTTGAGAGTTAGGAGTGAGGGAAAAATGACATGGAAGGCTTAATGCAGCAGTCAGTGGGGCGAGACCCTCGGGGACAACAGGGGAGAGGGCAGGGAGTATGGGCAGAGCAGAGTATCCAGGCAGCTCTTTCAGGTGGCGGGTGTGGAGGGAGTTCATACGCTCCTGCTCGCAAAGAGGAGAATTCGTCATTTTTTGGGAATGAGGGGCAGTAGATCCATGGTAAAGAGGTTGGGAATAACCAATGGTAGTGGTCACGAATAGGGTTAGAGGTCCTGGCCTTGTGTGTTCCCTGGGAGTGTGTAGCAGGTTTGTGAGGGTTGAAGTGATTGAAGGCGTCTCACTGTATAGTCCCCCTCAGTTTATAGATGAGGCTTTCTCAGCACTAGTGACATCAGCATCCAAGTGAGGCTCTCACACATTTTGGAGACAGTAACAAATGTCAGATAGCCAAGAAAATGCTTTTACTTTACTACTGCCACAATCACAAAAGGTGCAGTATTTTGGATGTATAATTATTTTTATTACTCTAGAAGGTGACATTTCTAAAACTGTCCTTCCATTCTGAAAGGGTGCATTTTGTGGTTGCATAAGCAATGACTACTATATTTTTTTCAGCTTAGGGCCTTATTTTAAGGACCCTCTGCTAGGGTTAACTCTCCATTTGAACTTTGAGTGGCTTTTTTGTGGGCAGCAGTAGTTTTCTGCTCTCTGGGTAGCTTAGGCCCATCACAGTAGCTGTAGACAGAGCAGTGTGTTAATAATGGTAATCACAGTAGCTGTAGAAAGGGCAGCATTATAATGTGGTTGTATACTCTGGATTTTCTGGGCTGCTTGTGATTTCCACTGCTTTATTTGTCTTACAAGTGAACCCCTTTAGTCAGATGACTGGTTACAGTATTTGATTTGGAAATTTTGTTGGCCCGGTGTATGGTCTAAGTATTGTGGAGCTGAGAGGAAAGAGGAGCTAATTTTACTGAGTGGAGCAGGAAGGTAGCAATTGAAGGACGCTTGACAGACAAGTTACATATGAGGTCAGTCTGGCCAATTGGGCATATTTACTGTGTAGTGTGTGTTTGTGTGGGGGCACCAGAGGGAGAGTAGCTTATGCTCGAGGCTGGAACCCTAGCCATCCGTTTGAGGGCCAAGAAACAGGTGGGGAGTCAAGTGTAGTCTGAAATGTGCCCTGTTGAGAGGGTCTGGGAGAACTGTGCAGGCCCTGGGTGCTGAGCATTTGGATTTGGCCTTGGAATTGACAGGAGTGATGGTGACTGGGGTCAGGTCCACTCCAGGAGAACACTTGTCTGAATACTTTTCCTATGTCATGCGCTGTCCATACTGCAGGATCAATTCATAGTGCTTCTGTGTCTGATTTTGTTTGAAGAGTTCTGCTCTCTGGGTAGCTTAGGCCATTGATCTATGTTAAAAAAATTGGCCCTTGATCTCCTGAACCCAGGATGCTTGTGGATAAGTAGGCATGCACTTCTTCTGGCTGCCACAAGATGGCATTGCTCTCCAAGTTCTTAAACTTAAATGACCATTGGGGCATTTAGTGTGGCTTTTTCTTATACCTCATAAAGTTATTTTTACATTCTTTCAGTGTTAATTTCAGTGGGATGAATATTTAGGTTCTGTCTTTAGTGCTGATGAAGTTTCATTTGCCATTTATTCTTTTAAGAGTCTTTTCCACAATTTGGTATTTGTTATAAAGATTTTAACCTTTTCAGAAATGTGTTTCTGAGAGGTGAACGTCCTGTAATTGCACTCTCTATGGCTTACTATAAACTGTGGTGATTTTGGAGTAGCTCCCCTGTCCTGATCACATATTAGCATTTCCAGGCATGGATGGAGAGCATGCTTTCTGTGGATTATCCGTATCTTTCTTCAGTTTGTTTTGTAGGGGTTAATATTTTAGGTATTTTATTTAGATATTTTTCATATTTGAAGCTATATTATTTAAAAAATGTGAAAGTAGTGTTTTAAATTTGATTATGATTATAGTATTACTTACTACTCGTGTACCATTTACTTCTATAATTTAACTTTTACTTGTTTAAAGAGATATCAGAGGCCAGTGAGATGGCTCAGTGGGTAATGGTGCTTTCTGTGCAAGCCTGTAGACCCAAGTTAAACATCAGAACCCATGTAAAGGTGGAAGGAGAAAACAGACTCCACAGAGTTGTCGTCAGACCCCTACATACACGCCATAGCCTGTGCCCTCCATCATGCACACACAAATGAATAATAAATAATAAAAAGTGTGCATGGAACTCAGTCTTCAATATACAGATCTTCCAGGATTGCTTTTTAGGGAGTTCACCTGGTGGAACTTTCAGGCCCTTATGCATGCCATTTGTCTCCCAGCTGCATGGATGGGAGTGTGCTTCTGATGTAATATCCTTGCTGTTGCGTGCTGGCTGCTTTCCAGACCCTGGTGACGCTGTCTCTTCTCTCCCCAGGTTGTTTCTGAGCACCTTCACTCTCGCAGTGTCAGCTGGGGCTGTTTTGCTTTTACCCTTCTCAATCATCAGCAATGAGATCCTGCTTGTTTTTCCTCAAAACTACTATATTCAGTGGCTCAATGGCTCCCTGATTCATGGTCAGTATATATGTTTAATATGATTACAACTAATACTTGAATTTTTTTTACTATGCTCTAATTTTAGGTTTTTCTTAGTTTCTGTCTTAATTTATACCTTCTACTAGTAAGCTATTGAAGTCATCAGTAAAATCAGAAACCCAGATTTTACTTACCATTCTAATTTTTAGATGGCTCTTTTGCTTAACCAAGAAGTTTTTATACTATAATCTTTGCATGTATATATGTATGCATGTGTGTATGCGTTTGTGTTTTGAAATAGCTTCTCACACTATAGACTAGGCTGGCCTGGAACTCATTGTATGGTCCAGGCTGGCATTGAACTCATGGACGTTCTCCTGTTTCAGCCTTCAAATGCTGGGATTACAGGCATACACCATCAGACAGGTTATGTACTATGATTTTGATAAAAAATTTTCTTTCTTTCATTTTTTTGGGGGAGGATCTTTTTGAGACAGCATTTCCCTGTAGTCCCAGCTGGCCTGGAACTTGCTGTGTAGACCAGGCTGGCCTCAAACTCACAGAGATCCACCTGCCTCTGCTCCCAAGTGCTGGGATTAAAAGTGTGCACCATCATGCCCAGCCTGTTGGCTAAAACATTTTCATTTAAATATTTAGGAAAAGAATTTCTAGTTCATCTGGTTATGTCAGAAGACCTCAGTCTCCACTGAAGACCTGAAAAGTAGAGGCTGCAGTTACAATTTTGTTTTGATAGAAAGGGGTGGGGGGGCATAAAAGTACCATCAAGTTCAAATTTTAATGTGATTTAAAAAACAATGACTAGGCTCGGCGTGGTGGCGCATGCCTTTAGTCCCAGCACACAGGCCGGCGGATCTCTGTGAGTTCAAGGCTAGCCTGGTCTACATAGTCAGTTCCAGGACAGCTGGGGCTACAGGGAGACCCTGTTCCAAAAAAACCAAAAAAAAAAAAAAAAAAACAAAAAAGACAATATTGACCAAAAGGTATGTTGCTTTGAAGTGAGGTGATCTGTATTGCAACTTTCTAGCAGACTTTGGGCAGGCCACTGTGTTACCTGTACTTAGGTTTCTACTTTCTTGACTAGAATGGTAAGTAACTTTCAGGCTTGTGTCTAGGAATCTCCCTAATAGAAGACACCTTGCTTGGACTAGGCACTTTGTGTGTGGTAGCTGTGCTAATCATCTAGTGCGTGTACACGCTGTGCTAATCCAGTGCGTGTACACGCTGTGCTAATCCAGTGCATGTACACACTGTGCTAATCCAGTGCGTGTATACGCTGTGCTAATCCAGTGCGTGTACACGCTGTGCTAATCCAGTGCGTGTACACGCTGTGCTAATCATCTAGTGCATGTACACGCTGTGCTAATCCAGTGCATGTACACGCTGTGCTAATCATCTAGTGCATGTACACAGTGCGTGTACACGCTGTGCTAATCCAGTGCGTGTACACGCTGTGCTAATCCAGTGCGTGTACACGCTGTGCTAATCCAGTGCGTGTACACGCTGTGCTAATCCAGTGCGTGTACACGCTGTGCTAATCCAGTGCGTGTACACGCTGTGCTAATCCAGTGCGTGTACACGCTGTGCTAATCCAGTGCGTGTACACGCTGTGCTGATCATCTAGTGCGTGTACACGCTGTGCTGATCATCCAGTGTGTGTACACGCTGTGCTAATCCAGTGCGTGTACACGCTGTGCTAATCCAGTGCGTGTACACGCTGTGCTAATCCAGTGCGTGTACACGCTGTGCTAATCCAGTGCGTGTACACGCTGTGCTAATCCAGTGCGTGTACACGCTGTGCTAATCCAGTGCGTGTACACGCTGTGCTAATCCAGTGCGTGTACACGCTGTGCTAATCCAGTGCGTGTACACGCTGTGCTAATCCAGTGCGTGTACACGCTGTGCTAATCCAGTGCGTGTACACGCTGTGCTAATCCAGTGCGTGTACACGCTGTGCTAATCCAGTGCGTGTACACGCTGTGCTAATCCAGTGCGTGTACACGCTGTGCTAATCCAGTGCGTGTACACGCTGTGCTAATCCAGTGCGTGTACACGCTGTGCTAATCCAGTGCGTGTACACGCTGTGCTAATCCAGTGCGTGTACACGCTGTGCTAATCCAGTGCGTGTACACGCTGTGCTAATCCAGTGCGTGTACACGCTGTGCTAATCCAGTGCGTGTACACGCTGTGCTAATCCAGTGCGTGTACACGCTGTGCTAATCCAGTGCGTGTACACGCTGTGCTAATCCAGTGCGTGTACACGCTGTGCTAATCCAGTGCGTGTACACGCTGTGCTAATCATCTAGTGCGTGTACACGCTGTACTAATCCAGTGCGTGTACATGCTGTGCTAATCTAGTGCATGTACACTGAACCACTTTCTCTGCTAGCATATGCTGGCACAGTTCTTTGTATCTGTTAGAACTGATTGTGACTCTTTGAGATCTGACTCTGCCCATACCATCCCATTTTTTCATGTTAATTCCTTGAATGGTGCCAAGTGGTTACTGGTGTTATTAGTGTCAAACTGTTTTATTATGGAGATATAATTTGGTAGCTACATAGTAGGCTAGATATGTTCTTTTTGAACACCAAAGGCAGGTAGCAAGTTGGGATAACTCACTGTCTGATGTTACCTGAGTCATTTTCCCTGTCCAAGGGAAGAGACATTTTATAATAGTGAAGACAGTCTAGGAAACAATGTCTTGTAGAAGAGTAGTCAATGACAAATACTTGCTACTTTTAAGCTAAAAGAGTTGATAGTTGCTTTCTTATTTTTGAGCCTTCTATTGAGTTAATGGTATAATGCCCTTCAACAAAAGCTAGCTGATTTGCCATTTGACTTAGAAAAAGATGTATCCAAGGATCTTGTTTCTACTAAGTGTGCAGCATAGGGCATTGTGTGTGGAGTTCCCTAGTGGATACTGAGAAGTGGAATGTCCTGTCTGGTACTGCCTTGAGAGGTGCTGTGACTGTGGGAGGCTGACCGCTTTGGCCGCAGCTTCCCAGGTGTGCTGATACTCCTCATGCTTCAGCCCAGCAGAAAGCGGCCTGAAGATTTAAGAGCTCTCCAGCTTCTTGTAGCTGCTTTGAATCAGTGCAATGTTGAGTAGAGATTATTGACAATCTGTTGGAGTTACGGTTTTATGAGTGACGCAGGAGTAACTTTGTGCCTCCCCTAGTTTGGGAAAGTACAGAAGGTACTTTTGTGGGTGCTGTTGCTGAGGCATGACTCTGCATTTGAGGGACAGCAGCACCACCACCAGCTGCACCATTCTTTCCTGAGCTGTAATATGCCCTCGCTATAGAGGACATAAGAGATACCAAAACGTGCAAAAAGCAAATGCAGTCTATGCTTGCTTTAGCACACACATGAATCATGTGTTGCATAGCACATGCAGTTTGTATCTTTTCAGGCATTTAATCTTGTACTGATTATTTACCTGCCAGTGATGTTCTTTGAAAACACATTAGTGTCTAACACAAGCTGTATGTACATTAAGCTAATGGTCTTCAGAGGTTACCCTGATTTCAAGAGAGGGACCATTTAAATATTTTATGTATTTACTTATTTTTATTTTATGTGTATGAGTGTTTTTCTTGGATGCATGTAAGTGGACCCACGTGTATGTAAGTGCCTGTGGAAGACAGAAGAGGGCATTGGATACCCTGGAACTGCAGTTATAGATGGTTCTTTGCTGCCCTGTGGGTGCTGGGAACTGAAACCAGGTCCTCTGCAAGAGCAGCCAGTGCTCTTAGGATGGGGACTGATTATTCTTCAGTGACTTCCTACAGGTATGAAATAGTGACTGAGTTGTTCCCTAGCTACTGAATGGCTTTCTTTCCTCTGTAGGACCCTTTACTTAACTGTTTCCCACTGGCTATCCAGGGGACTTTCAAGTTGGTTTTTGATTTTCTGATAATTTCCAAAGATAATTAGGATGAAAATTATTAGACTCAATGAATATCATTGCCAAAGTGTTTTCTAGAAGTGCTTGTTTATATCCTCTGGACAGACGATGAAGGTATCTTTATTTCTAACCTCAAACTCAGCAGCAGCATCAAATAGTAGTATTTTGTTGCCAACTTTATGACTGGGAAGTGGTTCCCATGATTATCATTTAAAGGAGTTTAGTGAGGTAGGACCTTTCAGTTTTAGCTTATATAGACATCTAATGCAAACATAATTTGTCATGTTCTTTGCCCTTTTCTGTTTTTTATGTTGAACTAGGAAGATTTCATCAGCTATGTCAAACTTCTAGAAATGCTTTTTTAGTTATTTTGCTTTTTGGATCTTATTTGGTTCCAGAATTATCTGTTTTCATGTGGTCTGGTCTTTTTCTTTCTTTGGTTTTTCTCCAATTGTTTTTCTATGTAGAAGATCCTTTCCCATCCTGAGATGTAACAAACATTCACTTCTTTTCTTAGCAGTAGTTTTGCATGTGCTTAACTATTGAATCCATCTGTAGTTTACACAAGAACTTTGTTTCCCTCCCAAAGCTCACTGTTTCAGTGCCATCAATTGAATATTCTTTCCTCTAGTGTTTCTTTTTTTAAATTTATATTTTTGAATTTTTGTGTATTTTATAAGAATATCTCAAAGAATCTTAATCATCTTTTTACCCCCATCCCCGCTGGCATGCTCCCACAGCCCCCCATTGGAACCCATATACTCTGTCATCTGTATTAAGGCCCAATGTATCAAGTCACTGTCTCCAGACAGTCCCCTGTGCAAGTCCATCCACTGAGATCTAGTCAGCCTATCTAGAGTCTCTTGTTTTAGGAAGATCAATTCTTCCTCACCCAGCAGTAATCAGCTGCCAGTGTTTCCTCAGCTAAGATTGGGGTCTGCTGATCATTTCCCCAGTTCTATGCTGGGTTTTTGTCTGCCCAAGTTTGCATGGGACTTGTGTATGCCGACACCATTGCCATAGAATCATATGAGCAGGTGCCCAGGAGCTTGTAGGACTCTCTTTCCATATGATTGTGCACCTCCTCCCTGGCTCTTACAATCTTTCTGCC